GACTCAGTTACATTAATAGTTACTTTATATATTTTTTAAACCTTCACTTAATCGCGTAGGCCTTGCCCTTACGTATAAGCGCCTCCCTAGAAGCACAATTCATTGGCTGTACATTGGCTAACATTGGTTAAACATTGGTTATATTGGCAGTGAATTGGCCAATATTTCCCCAATATAACACCAATATTGGTCATAAAATAAATGCAAATATACTACTGATATTGTACCTAGATGATAATTTAGTATTGGATTGAATGTATTAGCAAGATTGTCCAATAAAATTGTAATATTGAGTATAGAATAAATACTAATATGTAACACCGATGTGTTACGTATCACTAATTGCACGGTAGTGAATTTACATTGAAAGTGCATTGCAAAAATATGAGGCCCTCCACCACCCCCGCCAATTTCGGTCGGCGGTCCTCTTTTCTTTACAATAATCATTTTCTTTTGACACCTTTGTCATTATTATATTTTCATCACAATTAATTTATAATTTATTACAATATAAAGCATGTGGCTATGTCTTCTACTCTCTAAAGTCAATCAGTGGATTATTACAGAAAACAGTGAATACCCACTGATTCACAGTTACAAGTATACCACTGAATAATTTAGTTTTTTCCTATCTCGCATGCAGGCGCGAGAAAATGTATAAAAGAATATCCCACCCGAATTTTGGCACATAAAAAGATATACACAAGTAGATATAAATCAATTTTTATACATTTCACCATCGTGGTCAAGAAGGACCACTTATCTCGTTGAATTTTTTGCAACGTGCACGAAAATAGTAATTTTCATGTCGAAGCATTTTTAAAGACATTCCAAAAGAGTAATTTATTTTTCGATTATTATTTATTTTCCGCGTTTCACCTTTTTGTTAATAAACCTACGAGTCTTTCGTTAAAACCGCGAGATTTGGAGTTAAACGCGCGCGATTTAATAGGGGTCTTTTTAATCTTGCACATATGCAAGAATAAGTAAAGAAGGAAAGAATATAACCCACCCGAATTTTTGCACATAAGAAGAAATCAACATATATCGTACAATACATTCACATAATATTATACATCAAAGTGGCCAATATTGACCACTAACTCGGCGTATTCCTTCGTTGGGCCAGATTGGACATACCTTTCGTTGCTCCTGGCCATACAGTCTGGTCATTTTGACCAGAGATCAGGAAGGAAGAAAACTCCTTCCATAGTCGGTTATCGTCACCGACAAATATTTCGTACGGTTCGAATATACGAGTGACAATCGTATCGCAAAATGCACGACCACGAGAAGTTAATTAAAAGAAAAATATTAATTCAAAAAACTTTACGATATGTACGAATCAAATTTATTTTTACTTCCGTTATTTACTTAAACATATTGATCATCTTCGTAAAATGATCTTTGAATTCAAAAGTCAAATAGATATAGAAAAAAATTTACTTCGCGTTAGAGTGATTTTAATCATATTACTCGATAAATTAAAATTTATAATATGGATAAAATTAAGTATAATAATTAATAATTAATTAAAAATTTTTCCTGAAAAACCGATCGCGAAAACCGACCGCGTAAACCGACCGCGAAGATGCGTATAATTGTGCATGTTGTTCATGCGATACGCATCTTGACAATACATATTACATATCAAATGAAATATAGGAAATATGAAAAATAAATGGATAGGTTATAAAAGATTAGCTCGACAAATACAGCAAGACTATATTTGCCAAGCCATACTTTGTGTAATTTTTGCAACAACTCAAGATGAAAAGTGAATTCAACATATCGGAATATGTGCAATAGAGTTTCATCAAATTAAAAAAATGTAAAAGAAAATTAAAGGCCCTGCTGCAGGAAAGAATGAATCCCGGATCTTCCGGATTACCTCCGATAGCGGTCATTTCGGCAGGGAGTTAACGACGATCGTTTCTCAAATCATGCAATCTCGTATATTTTCAGTTTTATTTAAATAAAAATTATTCTTCCATTATTAGTGTTGATGGAAGAATATTTATGGAGAAGAATATACATACAATCTTCTCTTCTTTTTTTTAATTTCGCGAATCGACGTCGCGCCCTCGTGTCGAAACCGTTGCTTCCGGGAATCCGTGACAAAGAAAACCAGGGATTAACTCTGGTTCGCCAACAAGGTTTTCAATCTTAAATGGACAATGGAAAAGTTTCACAAACTAATCCAAAGTCATATTTCGCGTAATTTTTGCTTCTACAAATTTCTACTCATTTCCGATATGTTGAATATATTACATAAAACATTAAATGCCGTAATTATTTTATCATTATCACCTATCCATTTTCAGGAAACGAATCTACGAGATATATTTTACTACGATCTACTATCTACAATCTACTGTCTACTATCTACAATCTACTATCGACGATTTAAGAGGTGTAGATTCGTTTCCTTAATAAACAAAATTCTCACTCACCGACCCGATTACCTCCGCATAGAGCTACTTGAGTGTCTCGTGTATGTGCTTTTTTCCCGTACACTTCACCCGTCATCGAACCTCATAAACGTCTGCGGGAATTTACTCTTATACGTCTGTTGACTGTTGTGCCGATAACATTGTAGAAATGTTGAAAATGCCTCGCATATTCGCAAATGTCGAATATGCAGATACGCTGTGTGTTCACGGTTTCTGTGACGGCAGTGCAACTGTTGAAGAATACTGTCGACGCTTTCCTACACGCAGGATTCCAAATCGTAAAGTGCTTTCCAAGGTTTTCAATACATTGCGCGAAAGTGGAACGCTTCCCAGTGTTCATGTTTTATCTGAACGAGGACGTCAACAGAATTTGTGCGCCTATCTCGGAAACAGTGGGGAATGGGACGTATATTCATACGAACATTTTTGCTTAAAATGACCGACACAACCATCCCCCAGAACACCGACCCTTCCTCCTGGGACACCCTGTATATGTAAGCGATCGTATATCTGAAAATTCAGACAGATCGGTAAACCGATTTATCTCTAATTTCGTCTGCTGATTCTCTTTCATCGCGCACGTCCGCGAGGATATTCCATAATAATAAATTTCCCGATTGAACTTGCTGTCGCGTTATAACGATTTGCCTCCCGACGGTCCTGCTTCAATTTCGACGAACAATTTCAAACGTCGCGAAAGAACAGGGGGAAGACTTGAAGCTGATCGAACGTTCGGCGAACAAACTTGCCAATATGTGTTGCACCTCAAAGTACACGCCGCGTCTCTTTTTTTTCTCTCCCCCCCCCCCCCCAATGTGCTTTCTGACTCGCCGTAAACGAGCGGCAAAGTCGATTCGTTGACAGGGATGGATCGGGAAACAACTAAAGGAATCTCGTTACGGCCCTGTTCGGCCGACACCCTGCCCCGTGTTCATTTCTCACCTCTCCGCGTTCACCATTCTTGCGCGGGAGAGAAATCGCTTCCTTAAAGCGAGGCGAGGAAACAAAGGGAAACGAAAGGAGCCCCTCTCGCGAAACCCTCCCCTATGAGTTACGTCGATTTTCTACGCCGTGGAAAATTAACTGATCCGCGAAATGAGTCGGAAAGATTACGCCCGCTTTCACGAACGCTGTATCGACTAATTGAATCAGCGCTGACTAATTAAAGCGTCACCTGCGTCACCTGCGTATTTATAAAACGAGCGAGGCGCGCGATCGATTTGAAACAACCCCCCGATCGACGCCGCCCCGTTTTACGGTATTTATCAATCGATAGCGGGGCAACGGTACAGTTTATCGTTTAAACTTGTCCGACCTTCCCCTCAACGAAGCAGTCTATCGGCTGTTAAATTCTCGCATGCTATAAATATTTAATTCGAGCTTCGAGATACCTGCCTCTCTTGACGTCATCGTCATCGTCATCGTTATCATAAAACGAAAACCATAGAAATAAATTGCATTTCCTAACGAAATATACCAATGTTATACCGCAGGCTTTCAGGCTGCTGTGGGATAAATTTCAAAAAATTATAAGTCTGCCGAATTCCGTAACGAGAATATTGAAAGTCTCTAGAGGAAGTCGATAAGTTCGACATTCTTGCAATCTACAAGAGTTTACTTTTTTAACAATGTCGTAAAGTTAGTATCAAGTTTATAATATAACGTTGCATTTTTTTTATATTGCAGTCACTTTTTAAAAAAATTCTCGACCCTCTGCAAACCTTTTATTCTCGTAATTTCTCTCAGACCAATTGTTATGTTCACAAGTGCCAAATGCGAAATGCGCGCATACAACGCGTGGATTAAACTGCGAAGAATCCGTAAAAGTTTTCGCGTTCCACATCGTTCCATTAAAGGGAGTAAATTCGGTTGTTATTCATCGCATTTGCGCGGACACCGCGCGGCCGGAATTTCATCGGCAGGCATTTTTGACAAAATAATAACCGATTTTTGATTAAGCCTGATATAATCATCGTTCGAAAGTGCCCCGAATTTTCGCCAGGCGGGAAAGGGAGGGCCGGCCCCCGCATTTTGCCCGGCGTGGATTTTCATCGGGGACGAAAATTGGGTTCACGTTGACGCGACGTGTCATGTCCCGGCAGCGGCGCCTCTGATGTTTTGTCAGCTTGTCACGCCCGCGCCGAGAAAAATTCTTCCGTCACTATCATTTTTCGCAGCCTCGTACGAGCGAGACGGCGGCGATCTCGTGTCAATTTTCACGATCGATAAAAAGCCCCGCGTCCTCGTGATTAATTTTCATCGGTGCTTTGTGACGTTGCCGTCAAATTCACTGGCGAACGAATCGAATTCAACTCTCACGCGGTCTTTCGAACGAAATTATCCAAAATTCGCAGGTGTCTCTTATTATCCGAGCATGACTCGACTCTTCAGCGAAAACTTTTCGACGTACCTTATTTCCCTTGTTGCGTATCTTGATTTATTTATCCGACAATAAAGAAATAATTGATATTTTATGATCTTTGAAACTCGAAGGGACTTATTATTAGGACAGATTTATTAATTTGCGGCATACTGTTGTGCTTCCAGGCCTCAAGTACCTTCACTCAGCCCGAATTCTCCACAGGGACATCAAACCCGGCAACCTCCTAGTGAACAGCAATTGCGTACTAAAAGTGAGTCTCGGTCTAGATACCTCGGAATCTAAATATTAACTATGACTCTAAATATACTGTCTCCCCGACTGGACTCGATGAAATATAGATAGCGAGGATCTTTTCGTGTGTGTCCGACATAAGTGCTTTGTCCCAAATAGAAGCGATGTATTCTAAAGCCTTAGCTACCTAGTCGTCTATAATCTATTTACGTCCAACGGCCAGGCGTAATAGGTGTCCTCTTTCTCCAGATCTGTGATTTCGGGCTGGCCCGGGTGGCGGAGCCCGACCAGAACGTCCACATGACCCAGGAAGTGGTGACACAGTATTATCGCGCGCCGGAAATCCTGATGGGCGCGCGGCACTACACCGCCGCGGTGGACGTGTGGAGCGTCGGCTGCATCTTCGGCGAGCTCCTGCGCCGGCGGATCCTCTTCCAGGCCCAGAGCCCTGTGCAACAGGTGAGTAGAGGCCGGGCCTCGAAGTACGCGTTCCCCTCGGGAAGGGTCTTACCGGGCGTATACAGATTCAACTTGGTCGCGCCAGCACGTTATCCCTACTTCATTCGATGAAATAGAGCAGGCGAGAGCGAGAAGAGTACCGAGCGTGTGGGCCTGGATAGCTCAGGGAGATCAGTCATCCGGCAAGCGGAAGGTTCCAAGACCTGGTCTAGTCCTCGCCCGTTATTTTTCTTGTCCGAAGATTATTACGCGGCGCGTTTTAGTGCCCGTCTCTCCAAAGATACGCCCTTATTATTACGAACGATCCCGATTATTCGAGAGATCAGTAAAAGAGATCTCAATCGGCGAGTTTACTTCGAGAAAGGGAGTTTATGACGGAAAGTAATTTTCTGGAAATTGATTGATGAAAAAATACGCCTTCTCTCTTTGTCGTAGCTCGAGTTAATCACGGAGCTGCTGGGCTCGCCCACCCTCGAGGAGATGAGGTACGCGTGTGAGGGCGCGAAGACTCACATGTTGAGAAGGGCGCAGAAGCCGTCGTCGCTCTCGACCCTGTATAATCTTAGTAGCCAGGCGACGCACGAGGCCGTCCACTTGCTCTGCCAGATGCTAGTCTTCGATCCCGTAAGTTTGCTCCGGGCAAAAATAGATTTTTTTGTTCGCTATTTTCGACCCCGCGCCATTTCGATTTATAAACGAGTAGCAACAATTTTACTTGTTCATTCATTTAATTTTCATACGTAAAATTATGACGAGTCTAAAAAATTTCCTACTCACGGTTGGCTCGGTTCAGTTTATTTTTTATCGACAAAAATATTTCATAATTATATTAATCAATCTTATCGGGGGGTTCTTTTTTATGAAAGTACTATTTTTCTCCGCGAGATTCATTTGTCACTTCAATCAATAATTAGTACGGTCTCTCGGCTTTCGTATTTTATTGTCCATTTCAACTATCAATTCTGTTGATAACCAAAACGGAAATCGATTCATACTCTTCTTATTCTGCCGAGATGCTTTTTGTTCGGCCCGAAGTTGCCTGTTATTTTATATTTACTGATGTTCTCCCCAACAATTACTACCACGCAGGACAAGAGGATCACTGTGGTGGACGCCCTGGCGCATCCTTATCTGGACGAGGGTCGGCTCCGATATCATTCGTGCATGTGCACGTGCTGTTACACGACGAGCGCCGGCATGAGACAGTACAGGGTGGATTTCGAGCCTTCGGCCGCCCATCCGTTCGACGATCTCTGGGAGCGAAATCTTACGAGCGTGCAGCAAGTGAAAGGTGAGAAATTCCGCCGCGTCGAGGATTCGACGCAGGTGACGAAGAAAATAGAAGAGAGAATAAAATGTATTTTCAAGAGCGTCTTATCTAGCGGGAAATACATTTACGAATATTTCCGAAATTATTACGTAACGCTTGACAATAACACGAATTCTGTGATAACCGTGGAACAAATATGGAAGGATACCTTTCTGATAAAACTGACGACCACTGTAACTTCCATTTATTCAGTGATAAATAAGAATCACGTTTACACGTGTGTGATTTATTTAGAATGCCATGTGAGCAGAAAATTTCTCGATACTCGACAATAACGGGGGTTTTTTTTCCATGTCGATATTGACTTTTCACGTCAAATCTTGCGCAAAGTGCGACTGGCACAGTCGACGGTTCGTTTTTGCGGTACAAATTGTAGAACGGAGCCGATATATTGTCTCGGGGATATATTGTCCCGGGAATATCGCGCGTATCGTGGGTAGTGACGTACGCGGTAAGTATCTCAGGCACGTGCCCGCGCTATTCGAGAACAATAACCGCGATAAACACGCTCGCGTGTGTGCGTGTCACGATAAATCATGGTTTATCTTAGCAGCGCCTGGCCGCTGAGAACCGTGAGGCTCTCGGGGTATCTTTTCTCGTTGCTGTAATCGTCAGACGGTGAGACGGAGGAGCAGCGGATCCGCGATGAGTAACGTAAAAAAAAAAGAAGAAAAATGCCATTGTCATTATCGCGCCGTCGTTATCAGTTCCTTCGTGCCGTGCTATGGTAGCACTTGCAAAATCGAAGTTAACAACATTCGCAAGCTTAGTCGATTTTGTAAAAACCGGGGGGGAAACCGCTGAGGACATTGTGGTGTGCAGATTTGCGGCATTACTGGGCATTACTAGATATTACTAGGCATTTTTTGGGCATCAGGCCTTGCTGGGGCATTGTGAAGATAAAATAAGATAATAAGATAAAGTAATGCCCACTGGGCATTAGTGGGCATTGGTGTACAAGATTTTGGTCAGCGGTTTCACCCTCGGTAAAAACATTGCAAGAAACGTAAAAATAAATTTGGAAAAGGGAACGTCCCAAGTCTCGTGCGTAGAAATGTTGAACTTTTTTTTTTCTTTACAATTAATAACGATTGTGATAAGAAGATTTGAAAAGTATCAGCGTACGCGACACCGTGCGAGAGTGAGGGTAATTTAGCGCTGACCGCGTGACGGGGATATAATGCGTGGCATTATTCGCGGTGTCGTTATCTCGACCGCGGGAAACTATATCGCCATCAGCCTCCCGTCATTCGCTTATACGCCGGCACGTCGTTGTCTGTTTCAGAGGAGATGCACCAATTTATAGCGGAGCAGCTGAACACGTCACGAGTGCCGTTGTGCATAAATCCGCAATCCGCGGCGTTCAAGAGCTTCGCGAGGTAAGCCACATCACGCAGAGCGCGTCCACGCGAGAGTCGCCCTTGGCCGAAACGCGCATTTCGTTCCAAAACTATCGGAGAAGCTCGAGAAACGGGGAAATTGCGAAGTGCGCAGCCTTGTTAAAATATCGGCTTCTCCGGGGCAATTGTCAGTTTTCCTGCTTCGAGTGAAGCTACGAATGAAGTTCAATTCAGCGGGGCCCGACGAGAGTTTCCGCGTTGATCGCGAGATTATAATTGGAAAATAGCGGCGAGAGAAACGGGGAGGGGACAATTTTGCTTTATCAAAGTATATATAGCTGTGATACGAGCGCTCCTGTAATTTTGGAACAAGCGACATGACATGACCCGGCCCATAAAAGTCCCTCTTTCGTGTACAGGAAAGTCACCAGAACTGATCGACGAAAGAATACTCGAGAGAATTTAAAAAAAAGATAGAGAGAGGAAAAAAGAAAAGAAAAAAAAGACACACTCGCAACACTCCCCTTTTACTGTCCCTCGAAATTAATGTTGAAGAAATCTCCCCTCCCTCTCCTCCCCTCGCACTCGTGCGTCTCCCATATCGCGATCCCGTATCCTAACTCCCAGAAAAAAAAAACACAGACAGGCTAATAATCCCCAAGAGAGTTCATAGAGGGGCGCACAGTGTTTCTTATCAAGTAATCGAGTAGCGCGAGCGGAATATATCGGGTGTTCGAAGAGTAGCGCTGACTAGAGCCGGCTGAGTCTTTCGAGTAGCGTAACGAGAGAGAAAGTAAATTTCAAATTCGGACCGGACGGTGAGACGAGTCGAGGGTAAAAAGTAAGAGAGGGGCCTTTCGTCCTGGCGATCCTCTTGCTAACGTCCACAAAGGACGCTGTGTAGCTTCTGAACGTTGTTCCGAGGAAAAATAGGCTATTAAGTCTATTAAGATATATGCGCGTTTTTTCACGTAACCCTGTCGGCCCACTGTGATACAATCGCTGTATGCGATTCTCTCGATGTAGCGAAGGAGCAGAAATCAAGTAGATAAGGAACTGATAGTCATCGATATCGTTGAACGGAAAATTAGAACGATATTTTAAAGCTGTGGACACACGAAATGTACACGAATGTCTACAAAGTCTTCTCGTATTTGCCGTTTCTTTTCGCGCTCTTTGACAAATTCGTACTCCATTTCTCAAAATCACTTCAACATCGTCGTTTTCCGTTCAGTTTGTAACGATATAAAATACACAGCTCCTGTTTGAAATTTTATTGGAACTCTATTCTCTTTAGAGATTTTGTGAAATTTTGTTGAAATTTCATTCTGAAATCTATTATTAATTCTCTGCAACTTTTCGAAAAGGACAGGGTTGATCGATGTTTATGAATAAAAATTTAGCTTCGCATTTACGTGTTTAAATTTATCGTATTTCAGGATAGGAAAATTTACATTATTAAAAGTAATGGGAAGCACCGTATTAACGGAATAATCAATTGGAGCAATCAATTTATATTTCGTCATAAAATGACGGGGCAATATTTTATGATGTTTACCGAGAGACATTATAAATTCTCGGTGTGACACACACACACATTCACACACAATTTAACGATGAAAGTAACGAAAATTACGAAAACGATAATAGATATAAAAGGGCTATGCATAATAAAACCTGATTCGAATAGAAATCCATCAGAATTCACAGAAAGTTTCAGCGAAATTAGGAAATCGACCAAATAAACTTATTTTCGCTGTCGCTGTATAATTTAATTTTAAGTGTTTAAACATTTTGCTGCTTATCGACTTTCAGGACAAAATCAGGACAATCTTCAAGCTTCCAATCCAGAATATCGTTCTAGTTTTCTCTCAGCGATATTGAGAAACATCTCTAACAGTAACAGATCTATGTAATATTTTTCCCCAGATTGCACTACTCAACAAAATTTGAAAACTCACCTCTGTAGAAGTGTGCCAAAACAAAAAACCGAAGTGTAAAGTCTCGAGCCTTCGTGGCGCCCTGATTTCGAAATTGAAGATATCAGTACGCCTAGATTTTTTGTGTCGCAGATTGTTTCCCGGACTAATGGCATTTTTCACATATTTAACAGAGACCACGTGTGAACGCAATGAAATGTAAAATATATTGTTCTAAAAAATTTACTGCATCACGACGTATCGAGCAACTTTTGCGAGTAACAAATATACGCTGATAGAAAAAAATGGTTGCAGTTGCCACAATCTCACTATAATTTATAGTCATTTTAGGAGCCAACCATATTTTTATATAATTCTTCCAACTATGTAAGTTATGGTTGACCTAATAACATATTATAGTTCTCATATTGCAATACCAGCCACAAGTAAAATTTCGAATAACTATATGTAATAGTAACAATCGTATTTATATTGGAAGTAATATTCCCCGCTTTTTATTACATATACATTGCGTTCACTATGTTCATTGGTTATATCACTTTGCACTCATAAAGCATAGTACAAGAAAGCATCTTTCAAAGAAACGATAAGTAATCTTATACGAATGTATAAACTTATTCGTATTTCTAACACCCTCTGCGGTTTTCTTCTTACGAGAAAGTCTTGTACCGCACGTCCCTCTAGTGAGGACATTCTGAACCACTTCACTTTTGTCTACCATGTAATTAATAAGGTGGATGATAGAAATGTAGTTCAATTTGCTATTATTGTGATGGTACATAAAAATGATTGACTAATTTACTATTCATTACGTGGACATTTTAACAGAATAATAGTTAAAAGCTTATATTTTATAGGAAATTTTTTAAATAGCTGGCATCACTGTGTCCATACGGTTGCTCTTACTAACATTATAGTAATAATTACTATAGAAACGATATTCCTGACTACAATTATTTTACTGTGCAATTATAGTTTCAAGTACTACACATTTTTCTGTCAGTGTACCTACAGCCATCCGAGATTCAGAGTATAGAGCCAATACAAGTGCTCATGTAATTGAGTTAGATCGCTTCGAATTACCTCTGTAACTATTAATAGCCAGAGACTCGAAAATCTAGGCGTGACTCTTACGGCAAAAGAACCTCCACGGAGTCGGTCCGGATTGCGTTCTCGCTGTCCCCCTCATTATCTAACGCGCGCGGAACCGGGGACGTTTGCAAATACGTCTCCGGCCCGTGTCGACTCGACTACGGGCTCAATAACGCCCGCGACGTTATCGTCGCAACTTCTACGAGGTCTGTGCGTTGTTGGGTAGTGTTAACTTGGCAGCTGATGCTGGATGTGTAACAATTGTACGTCTTGCTTTTACTCTGCCGTTCAAGTTAGAGCAAGCCGATCGCCGAACCAGCGCCCTGCGCCGCGTATACGTACACGTTACTACTACCACTACCGACTCAGCTATCTACCACTGTCAGCTACTATCGACTACTACCGCTATCGTCTACTACCACTACCGCTACCACTACTACTACCAATCGTGTTACGCCTCCTCCTGAACGAACCGAACGAACCGAGAGTCAGCTATAGTCGGCGCGACCTCGCTCGCAGAGGTATACATGCTCCAGCCTATTTTTTATAATAGCACCAAGTATACTGCAAAACCTTTTGCCTGCGTTGCAAACTGGTCCCCCCCGTCCCCCTGGGTTCTCCGACCGTCCTTTGCTTACCTCATGATGTACGCCACGTGCCTCTGACACTTGGTCGCGCGACAGGTGCCCTCGGACTCGAATCCGCGTGCGAACGAACGCGGATTTATCAGCCCGCATTGTCCGAGAGACCACACCGCGGACGTACGTCGGAGTGATCGGTGATTTCGAGGGCACCTGGCGCGGCGTGTCGCATCTCCGAATCGGATCGGTCGCGCCGCGCGTATCTCGCGTCGAGGCGGGTTGATTGCGCTCGGATGGGGTGACACACTTGTTTATAATTAAATGTTAATATACGGACGAACTCGACATCGCCGTATATGTATGTAGAAACGCTCCTCGAAGATCTCTCCGGGAACCAACGTCGTTTCGCGCTAAGGGTTTCGTAAGAAAAATTATAATAGCATCCTGTCGACCCGCGCAAGACGATAATCCCCGAGCTAATCCCGTTAAAAAAAATGATCAGAGCCGAATCGAGTACGACTCTTATACAATATGACGCGTATTCAATTATTGTAGATTAAATTGAGGACCATTGTTACTGAAATTGTTGGAAATTATATCCGCCCGGACGTTTGCCTCGAAATATTTCGCGATATTTCAATAATGTCCCTCTAAATAATCATATTGTCCAAAGTGCAACGGCGCCCTCATTTTGTTTTAGAGCAACAGCGCTCTGCGTTTTCGCTTCGCGCGGAAGCCGAGTTAATTGAAAAACGCGCGAGTGCATAATTAATCGAGATGAGTTTCGGGAATAAATTCTGTGGAAATGCGCGGAAATTAGGATAATCCGACGCGCGGCAGCGTTCGGCGGATTTCGGCGACGGCGGATGAGGCGCGTTTAGCGATGCTAATTAGCGGCGGTTTAGCGTACGCGCAATTAACGGGCTCCTTAAACACCCGCGCGGCAATAATATACCCGGCATTCATACTCGGCAGGATACCGTTCCTTTGCCGTTGTTCCTGCGACGATTGTTTCCGCCCCCTCTCTGCCTCTCTTTCTTTCTCTTTGTTTCGACCGGGCGGGAGCGTTGCTGATGCGAGAAATCACGTCGCTGCTGGCCCACTTTTGCGGCTACTTAAAAGCGAGTTCATAGGAATCCGATCTGAGAAAGGAAACAATTACGATCTTCGAGGAACGTCCACCGAACGCGACTTAATTCCGATTTTTTCGTCCGCTTCTCTTGCAAGAATATTAATGTGTTGTGCACGCCGGCAATGTGACGGTAAAAGAACTGTAGGAGAGGGAAATCTTTTAAAATTTTTAACGACGATTAATCGACAGAGAGTAAATTTGCGGCTTATCTTCGTCGGGATTTTTGGTAAATTAAAATTCCACCAGATTCCCAGCTCTCCAAATCGAAAACGTTCGCTTTGTCGCGAACCGTTGCGCGACCGGGCGTTAATATACAGTAATTTACAAGCGGTCACCCCGATTTCGCAAGCGCACGAAACACCCGCCGTCGTCGTCTCGACGCTCTGCTACCTGTGCATAGAAGAAAAACCGGACGAAACACCTGAGGCGGGGCACATTGTCTCGTCGTTGACATTATGAGTGTAAAAGAAGGCCTGATACACCATGCAGCCTTCAGTCGAGAGAGATATCGATGAGAAAGACGTCGCGACGCGCCAAAGAAAAGAAAGATAACGAGGAGACTCTTTCGAGATATCCGCGTGTATCTCCTTGACCCCTCAACCTCTCCCTAAATTCCCCCTACAATTGTGATTCGCACAATCCGACGATCCCTGCCAAACGTTTCCTGTTCCATAGATAGAGGTGTGGCGTTTTGATGTTTTCTCTATACGCAAAATCTCGCAAAATGCCCCAGGAACGTTTTTAATGTCACTTCTTTACATTTTGGAGTCCCCCAACTTCGTTTTAACACGTTTTTAAAACGCAAAATCACCCTCAACACGCAAAATAGTGACCAAGTAACGTAAAAAATCGCAATTTTCCTTAGTAAACATTTATAACGTCAATGTTGTACCCTAAACCAAAGAGATTTATGCCTGAGACTAGTTTCCGTTTACTTTTTTCGGACATGCTACTGCTTTTATAGCCTGACAATGATACGTAATTTCAGTAATTCCATGCTATTTTAATATGTTATGTTTTATATTACATTTTTTATCATATGTTTAGCCTTAACAAGTGTCGTAAATTGTTCTATCAAAACAATAAGGCCCGGTTTCACCAACGTCGCTCAGCCCCAAGCCTAGCTCAATTCGCTCTTTGCCTCTTTCCAAAGTAACAATTGGGAAGAGCCAAAGAACGAACCAAACCAAGCCCAAAGCCAGGCGACGTTGGTGAAACCGGGTCTAAGTCGTCCTAACGAAGCCCTGCCCACCTCTGGCCACGGCATTATCGAGAACCTTATCAAAATAATGCAAAATGCGGGAAAACAAATCGCAAGAGACGCCAAAAACTAACATCCAAATGTTACACCTCCATCCATAGATAATATCCGTCCGTTATTAGGCCATCAATATTAACGCCGACGTAAAGAATAGCCCGAAAGAGATAAAGAAACGGAAGTAGATGCCGAGGACAGAAAACGTTCAGGCAAATGAGAGAGAAAGGAACGGGTTTGTAGAAGAGAGACGACCGGCTGTCACGCGCGCTGACAGCTGCATGGAAATCAGACGGACGGTTTTCTTAGGTTGCTTATTGCGAGTCGGGATTCATCATTTCTTCGGAATGATCGTCACGAGCGGGTAGCGCGTGCTCCAGTTCGATAATGGTAATTAATAATTACCGACGTCGGCTGTCACTCGGCGATTAAGTTAACGCCGAGATAGAGAACGATCTGTCATCGCCGAGACGGGCGAAAGAGAGAAACCTTGATTCGGTGTGTAGCGATTGTTGTTACGTTCCTTAGGCATGATGCGCAAATTTAGAAAAGATTTTTTTTGCGATGTACATACGCTTTTAGCTGTATCTTGTAATTCCTTTGCGTTCCTTGCAATTGCGACAAAGAATAGACGAGAACAGCGATGTTATTTGATCGGATTTGATTAAAGAGAGAGAGAGAGAGAGCAAAGCGCACATTACTGCTCGCTGACGATTTCAGTTCTTATCGATTTAGCCGATCGATAGCGTCGAAGTGCGAGACGATAGTGGTAAATTATTATTGTCGCGTTTCGTACTCCGCGTTCTCGATCGTTAGAGAAAGCGAATGGCCGAGCGAGTGTTGGTTTAACACGCCGATTAATTGCAACATTAATATTCTCGATTAATTTCCATTCGAAATTAATTCGACGGACATCCAGCCGTTCGAATTTCGTCGCCCTTCAGGCGCCACGCCTGGCCGTACGGTGCAGCGGGCTCTTGAGGATCTCCCAATTCTGAAAACAAGCCTCACCCGGGCCAGATGCCCGGCAAGAAATTCCGATTTCCGGCCGTAAAGAGTCAGCTCGGTGATTCGCACGTAGTTGTACTCGTTCTCTTCCTTCACTCGCCCCGCGATCGATTGCCCTAACTGGTCCACGGTAATAAGATCATTGTCGCTTAATAATAAACTTGCGCAAAGAAAAGAAGAAAATTATGAAACTCGTAATAGACGGAACGGCGGATTTTATCGGGATCGTTTCGACTGAAATACCGCTGGCCGTTAGACAGGGCGATCGACTCGCTTTATACCGCAGAAGGGTCGCACGTTCTCCCCCCAGCCTAGCTTTCTCAACCCCCGTCTCTTCTGTCCTGCGTCGCCCTTCTAATGTCTTGTTCGTACGACTTGCAGCTCCACGGTGGCTCTCCCCTCGGAATTGCCACCCTCTCCACACCAGTGGGAATAAAAAGTCTTCCCCGTTCCCGTCCCCGAGGTAGGCCGTCGGACTCGAGTCGGTGACGATCTCCGTGTCGCGCTCCGAAGAAGAAAGGAGAGGTTCGACGCCGATCGCGGAAGATAGTAAGTCACCGATAACAAGAGGAGCGAAATGGAGGAAGAGGAGGAAGGAAAACGGGGGAACTGGAAGCCACGGAGAGAAGAGCCAAGAGAGACAATAGACTGCCGCACACTGTAGCCTCAATTTTCGATTAGCTGATACGTATATATGCACGGGACAATGCCAAGGAATGCGTAGAAAAATGGTAGCGAGTTTCGACTTTCGAAGAGCCTTTACTCTTCGATTCATAGATATTTTTCGACGACGTTAGAAATTATTTCAGATGAATAGAAATTATGATTCCTACCCTTTTTTTAAAAAAAAGCTGAAAGTATTTTTCAGAAATGCTAAATTGTAAACGTGAAGACATCGACAGGGACTTAGGGGAAGCTCGTCTTTTAGACTTCCTCACATTCCTCAAAAGAGAATTGGAAGTTCTTTCAATTTTTCCTCGGGGACATGTGCCTCAAGGAAATGGAAGATCTCTTCCATTTTCCTTTGGAAATGCAATTCTGGATACCGTTTCCCGGATCTTCCTTCAACGAGCTTTCTCTCGGGAACTCTCGGTCACAATTTATTTAATAATGATAATATTGAAGTACAAGTAAACAGTAATTCTGTTTCGCGATACCCGAATTGCGATTCAATTAATATCCGAGACGGGGATTTTTTTTCAATTGATTATCAGACGTGCTTTAGATTCGTATCTTCGGAATATTACGATTGCCTGTGTTCACAGAACTGTAATGACACGAGATCTAAGCGAGATTCTAAGAATTTTAAGGATCAGTGTTGAGGATTAAAGAAATGATTGAATGACAAAAGGAATCTACGTCACACGCGTCAGACATTCTCCAAGGAAAGGTAGACTTGGAATTTTATAAGAAGACCATACTTTCGTTTTTCTACGCATTTCGCCGCATCCTGCATGTATATATAGCAATATATTATACGTATTATACATTGTATACACACGATCGAGGGGAGAGATACACTACACTCACACATACTCTCTCTCGCACATACAAACATATATATATACACACATATACACACGTCTATGCACACACATTAGCCAATTTAAAACACAAAGTAGCCAATTAATTCCAATAGAGAGCGGTGGGAAATTCCCGAGGATTAGAATATCGCGGGTACCGTGAACGCGGGAGAGCAAAAGGGCGGGGAGGGTGATAATTAATTAGCTATTAGTAAACGCGAGTGTCGAGCAGACCGGGCCAGTCCTTTTTTTCTTTTCTTAGATTTTACACACGTATACAGGTCGCGCTGGCCATTTATGATGATCGAATACGCGCGCAAGCACTCGCGCGCGCGCGAGAGGGGAAAGTGCCAGGAGTGGGGAAGGGAAAATCCCTCCCGTCCTGATCGAGGATCCTCCGACGGCGAGAGATATCCCTAAGAATGTCATGCTGAATCGAATCGTCCTCGGAAAGGATCCTTTTCTCGAGGACGTTGTCGCACCAGCGAGATTATCGCTCCGAAATCGAACGGTTCTTGACGGGAGATCGCTCGAGGATGCAGCGCGAAAAGATAGAGACTGCTCCGAATCGGCAAGACATGTCCCTCGAGCGTCGCCGCGAATAGATTTGTCCTTGAGAGGATATCTCTCGAGGACGTCGCGCGTCTCAGTGACGATGAAATTATTATTCCGAATTGAATAGTCCTCAGCAGGATGTTTCTCGAGGACAGTTTCAAGTTTCCGGCCGTCCTCGATGAGATATCGTTGAAGGATAGTCACGCAAGAACACTCGAGAAGATTAATCCTCGGCGAGGGATATCGTTCAAGGATACATCCGAGGATGTCCGAAAATCGGCAAAGTGCGAGATCCCCTTCGAATCGTATCGTACCTTAACGAGACATTGTTTGCGGACTCGTGTCCGCGTAGTGCGAGATTTTTGCTCGAGGATATTCGCGCGAGTTGTTCTCTCTCCGGTTGGAGTCCGCGGAGACTCGGAAACTTGTTGGGGGGGGGGGGGGGAAAGACACGTTTTCCTCGGTATGCCGAAGCGAGAATTAAACCTCGTGCGAACAAATCGATCATCGCGAGCGTTTACAGACGCGGTTCTCGATACAATCGGCGACAAATCGGCTACGAAGAGGAGCAAGGGGAAAGGAGAAGAGAAGATTGAGACGAGTGGAACAAGTCGTCGATCCTTCCTGAAGCGACAAGCGTTAGCGACTGTAGAGGCACTGGTATGACCGGCACTTTTCCTCTCTAGCGTTAGCATTTGATTCCGACGAGCGACCAGCGCATTCACTGGTAAATAAAGACTAATAAGTCCTAGATTGAAGTTGTCCCTTCTGAGGCGGAATAGATGAAAGGGGAAAGGTAGATGAAAATTCGAGTAGACGCGCGCGACGAATGAAGATGTGGATGGGATGGGAAAGTTACGGCGGCGAGTCGCAAAGGCGGATGTTCAGATTCGTAAATTCATTGAGAAACCGTGTACGATCATGTAAACGGAACGGAATGAGGAGAGCGCTCCCGTTGCGTCCGGAAACTTTACATTCGGGAGGGAGATCGGGCGGGACGCGGATGGGCGAATTCCGTAGAAGCGCGAATTGTTTTCAAAGTGATTTCGAGGGGGACGACTCGACCGGCTAGGAATTCGACGTGAAAGAAATGAGACGACGGATCGTAGGATTCCGAAAGAAGCATTTAAAGGATCGTCGTTAATGCTCGAGTTGTTCTCGTGGAAAGTTAGTCGCAGGAATGACGAGGCTCGAAGCCCTTAACGATTCTTCCGCGTTTCGTACCGACAACTCGCTGCCCCGGCAGGACGAAAGAAACTCGGGGTCCTGTTCCTCCGCGACTGTCCCGATCCCACGTTCGCTCGTTCTCGTCTCTCAAGACCGGGATCTCGAACGACGGGGCTCCTTGGATCTCAGACTAGGAAATAAAAAGAGGAGTACGTCCCGCAGGACTCTCGCAGTCCCATCGCGTGGCAGGAGGAGGCATGCGCGAACCGCACGTTCAGCGACCTTCCTCGTCGCCGTCGAAAATCTCGAGAATTTCCGCGTCGAGGAAACGATTTCATCTCGGCGACGATCATTTTCCCTCGTTTACCTCGCGTCCGTGAGTTTCCCCTCGCGCGATCGTGGAATCGCAATTTATTCCAATAAACGCACTGCCGACTTATCGTGTGAACGCGATGGTATCGATACGGAAAAACGAGAGAGAAATATATGACGGAAGGAATTAAATTAATAGATAAGTAGAGAAATATAGGAGAATAAAAGCGAGAAAAGAAAATTGAAGATCGAACCCAGCGTAATTTGCTTAGATTTAATCTTTTTTGGCTAGAAGCGTGAGAGAAAACAGATTGCGCGTCGATCGTCGTGTTTAATTCATAGAATTTGAGAGAGACATACTCGAAACCGATTACGTAGAAATCCGAATTTATTGATTTTACGTCCGGTCTAAATCTTGGACGAGAAAGATCTATGCGGAGGATTAAGACGGAAGACATTGATGGAACGTTTCTACATAAGTCGATAAGTTTCGGTATTATTTTTGATTATGTTGTAAGCGCCGTATGGACAGTAACTGGACACGCGAATCCGAGCGGTTCGAGCGAATTTCGACAATCGACGATCTTTCAGTCAAATGCATGGGATGCTAACAATAAAGGGATTTACTTAAAGAGATAATTATTTGCGATAGATTTAGTTTGTCGAAAGTCTAAAATGTTTCAGTCTTCTTCAAACGATTGTTAAAGAATGTTATATCAAAGTTAAGGGTTTTTTTTAAATTTCATTCTACATGTACAGTTATACTGTAAAAAAATGTAATTTTAACTGAGAGACGCAATTTATTGCATTTCAAATAACTGTTTCGTCAAATATTTACGCAAATATTCGATTTGAGTCGTACCTGAGATACGATTGTTGGGAATCGTTCGGATGCCTTCACCATCATTTCAACTCCTTAATAAAATGACAATTTTTAAAGGGATGCAAAGGAGGTAGAATCGAGACACAATAAATCTAGCTAAATAAAACATGAACTTAAAGTATGATTCTATCGGTCGAAAGTATCAAGAATTAAAATCAATAACGTAAAATCATGGAATTAGTAGCGAGAAGATGCATAAAGTAAAAAAAAAAACAAAATATTTAAATAACAGAATATTATGATGACTGCATATTTGTAATTGTAATTACTTTCAGGTAATGTTTCGCTGACGAATACAGTTATTCTTACTGTAGCTACAAGATCAGAAATTCCGAAATCAACAAAGTTATATCGTTCACTATATCCCTCAAATACTATTTCTTCTCATCTAATCGCGTGTCTCCTGTCCTGAAAAAATAATGCAAGGATTCCAGAGAAAACGTAAGGGCGCACATAATTACGTGTGATTTTAGATTAAGGGATTTTAGATAGCCAGTAGTAGGTCCGACGAAATACTTTTAAGACAAAGTGAGAGAAAAAAATGGAAGTAGCAGAAAGTTTTACCAAGACAAAAAAATTCGTCGAGACGTGTTAGTTGAGTATGAATTAACCGGTAAATATGCGTTTAGAAATGACGCGCGTGTGGTCCGCAAAGAGGAGCACGTTGAAGATTGGATTGGGATCCTCCAATATCGGTACCCTCGCGGACGATATAGCGATTATCTATCCCTGTGTCATCGCGAATTAAATTGCGACACAACGTGTGGACATATTAACTGTTCTATGGTGTTTTAATGCTCCTTTATTTCATGAAGATATTTTACCAAGACATCTTTCCGTGTTTTTCGTTCTGATTTTTCTTTATTTCACGCACTTTTCAACTGCCCAAAAACACGCATTTTACACGACAGACGTGTATTTTCCACTTGTACATTCATGGATGATTTTTTAAATCGTGCAGCCACAAATTTGATTTCATAAGAAAGGATAATTGAAGAAATTAATTTAGAACAAAATGTTTCTTTTCACCAACTTAATTTAAAAAATTCACAGAAATGTACAGCGAAAAAAAAAGACATTTTATTGGAACGGAGATATATAGTATTTTAATGATAAACGCGGACGCGTTGAAAATGTGAAATGAGGAACTAAAGGCTACGACATTCAGTTCGGAAAACGATAATATTTTGGGAATTGAAATAAGGCGTTCGCTTAGCTCGCGATAACATCGCTGGATATCAGTCGAGGGTATTTAATCGCGAGGCACGTTAATCCAAAAATCTTCGACGAAACGTAAAACTGAGTTGTATGTTTTGATACTCCTGGAATATTTCTGTGTTAATGTACAGGTATCTCCTCACACGCGTACGCGATTTTGCGGTGCCTGTTGGTCTTAACGGTAGCTTAACGGGTGACACGATTCAGGTGTATACGTTTATTGCTGGGCGTTTTTATTGTATATTCGTCGACATTGCAAATAACATTCTGACACTGCGTATTTTTTGTTGGCAACGCGAGGCGTTAACGCCGCTCGTGAGTGCTCGACGATTCATTGCGAAATACCGGTCTTTAGCTTGTGCCCTGGAAATAAGGTCGAAAAGATGTTTGCGCGTAATTGCGAGATAATTTTTTTATAACGCCGAGAAGTAATCAGTACGCTTCTATTGAATTTTCTCGAAAATCTCATCTCAAACATAGACTTTCGTTGCGTAACTTGTATAAGTTATATGCGATTTATACGGAATTCCGTGACGACTTCTGTGAAATTACATGCGTTTCATAAAAATCAGTTTATACCCTTTCTTCCGTAACAATGTTGACTCTTCGCTTCTTTCGTCCGAGATCCTCCTCTCTGTAATTAGTATAACGTACCGTATCATCTTATCATTTTCGAGGTATGTAGAGCGTAGTAGCGCTTCTCTCACTACATCATGTGTAAATAAATTCTCACCATATTCATCGTGTATATAAATTGCAGCTCACCAAGAGATTCGTCGCGATTGCGCGTCGATGCAAATGTCCTGTGTTCGAATATTTCCGTCGTTTTTTTTTATTTCAAATTGAATTGAAGTAAGTCCCGAACGACTCTTCGGTATAAAATATTAATAGTAAGAGAGGAACAATCTGGAATCAACTCGTCGATATGCGGTGTGGTCGTACAGTTGTTTGTGAATTTTGACTGTTTGAATTTAACTATGACGCACATTCTCCTTCGAGCAAGTTGTTTTCTCAGTTGTTTTGTTTTTAATTACTTAACTTTATTTCGCATTCGGAGTATATTAAGGCCCAATTCTTTGATGCTAACGTTCCAATTACAATTAGTGTTCGATGAGACTCTGAGGTCTCCGATTGGCAGGTGAATTTTAATTAATGCATACAGCTATCTTATACAGCGCCATCGAAAGAAATTAGAAAATATTGGACGTACATCTTATAATAATGATGAAACATTACATATAATGACGCACGCCAATATCTATGGTACTAAAATTGATCCACTATTATTTATAGTTTTACACTAAGAGAAATCAGATGAAAATAAAATGAACAACGGAGAGATCCATCTTACAATTAGTTTACGAAGATAATACTTCAAGTATGCGAGTATTATAGTGGCTACTAAATTTACCATTAAAAACGCCGAACTACGATAGCGATCTAGATGCGAGTCAAGCGTAAGCCAGAGATTTCCGGGCATTCGGTTATGATAAATCGATGTTATGTATGGAGGCGCGCGCACGATTACTTAGAAAATATTTTAATTCTCATTCGCGAGTGACGGCAATTCTTACTTTTTCTATATCTTCGTATTTTTCATATCTTTAGTGAATAATTGATAACTTATCGATCGTAACTCACTTATTTGCTTGATCCGTTTGAATCCAAGTGAACAGAGATTTAGAGAACGGCGTATCATAACAAATCTTCAGCGTTTCGTTCGTAAAGATTATTATCGATTATTATCGAGTTATGCATCCGAAATACGAATTATTGAAAATATGAGTTTTCAACCTGACTGGATTTGTTACAACTGTTTGCGACCGAGTGATCCTACAAAACTTTTTCGAAACTG